AAGAACACTCTCAGATGCACCTTCACAAATGAAGGCAGGACACAAGCTCTATTTACATCAATGCAACACTTGATGACTTGATGTTGTACGTGAGCTCATTCAACTGTGTTGACAGGAACTTTTTTTTTTTTTCCCCAACTAATTCTGGTGCCTCTGACTTCGTGGTGAGACAGTAGAGCAAAGCCAGCTTGATTATACAGTCTGGTTGTTAGCTTTAACTGTTCATCTGCGACTTGGCTCCTGGAGATCAGTCTTAGCTGGCAGGGAAGTGGATGTCGAGGATACCTGTGTTGATGTCACGGGCTGGGCTCGCTGTCACATCCCCGAACTAAACTCTGTCCTCTGGGTATCAAATCTGAGCTCGGCTCTGTGCTTTGGGTGGCATCCCGGGCTCAGCCCTGTCTTTTGGGGAGTATATTCGGGCTCAGCTCTTGTGCTTTGGGTCACACCTCGGGCTCAGCCCGGTACATTTGGACAGACCCGAACCTGAGGCACTCCCGCAGCAGGAGCGCGGGCCGAGGTCGCCGTCTGGCGGCCACGCACCGGCAGCGCCCGCGCGGCTCTCGGCCCCCGTGCCAGTATCCAGTATGGTTCCCGCCCCTCACAGCCACCGCTGCCCGGGCTCAGCAGGGCTGCCTCACGTGCCGGGGATTGGGAAACGGCTCCGCTGGCCCCGCCGCCGGCTCCGCTGGCCCCGCCGCCGGCCCCGCAGCCCCGTGCCGGGCGGGAGCGCAGCGCGCCGCGCTGGCGCCCTCGTGTGGGCAGAGTGGGTGGCCCCGGGGATGCGGCTCACGGGGCTCCCTCCCCGCGGAACGCCGGGCGGGAACACCACGGCTCGCCAGAGAAATGGGCTCCCTGCCGGCGCGGTCAGACGGTGGCCAGTCGGCCAGGGAGCCGCCTGTCCCGCTGCTTTGTCTGCCCGGGGTGCCTATTCCATGAGGTTTGCCTTACACCGCTAAAATCCACAGCTTTTGGATCTCCCGGAGCTCTGCTGCAACCTCCCCTCCTCCACTATCTCCTTGGTCTCTTAATTCATGCTCTGTTTTCCCCTATACATTGCCTAAGACGTTTCTTAGCTTAAGTGATTCTTCACCTCACTTCAGTGCTCACTTCTTCATCTCCTTAAAACCTGCAATCCAATCTCTGACAGTCAATCTTCTACCCCAAAAAATGGGCTCTCTGCATCCCAGGGACTTTTCCTGGGACACGGGTCCACTGGGAAGGCTCGTGCCCACAGCTTTGCTCTTCGGTGTAGCAGCACGGCTGATCTGTGTCAGTCGGCAGAACACACGGATGCAGCAGGTGAACCTCATTGCCAAACTGCTCACATGTGACAAAATCTGGGGTGTAGGGCCGTTTGCTTGTCTGAGAGATAGTCCTGGCCATTGCAATGCTTTCAGCTTACTCCTTTGGGTGCAGAGCAATGGATATTCCTGCAGAAACCTGGACTGCAGGTTTCTGCTGTACTCCAGACCCTCCACTGATAAGACCTTAATCAGCATTAATCATGGAGCTGTTCGAGGAGTAGTGCCAAAGCTGTTAATAGTAGTGTGGAACAGGATCAGCTGAGTGCTGAGGCTTTTCCCTAAATTGGCAGTTGCTATGTCAGTGCAGAATGCCATCACCTCCCTGTAAATCAGCTTTCTCAGGTCCTTTGCAAGTGGCAAAACATCAGAAGAGTCCCCTGAGATCACAGGCAATGACGAATCAATTCAATGACGCAGAAAAGTCTGAGTGCCCATCGTGCACCCTTGACTCACCAGCAGCGGAGACCTGGAGCAGAGGGTGGGGGGACGCAACTGTGCTGTGCCACAGGGAGGGAGGGGGAAGATGGAAGGCATCAACCCCTCCATCTTCAGGTGGCATCAGGCCTTGAGCCTCCTTTCATCTGCTGCTTTAGCAAAGTTCAGATGCACTGGTTTGGAAGGATTTCTCTCAAGGCAAGAAAAGCACTTTTACTTCTGTGCTTCTGCCTTCAAAGCATGCCCCGGTGTGTGCGCCGGGCCAGCCGTGGTGACCTGGGCTATGTCTGTTCAGGCTTCCTCTGCCGGGAAGGGTAAAGTCTCCTTTTGTCCGAGGGGCTCCCACAGCCTCTTGCTCAAAGGCGCGGCGATGCACGAAGCTCTGCCTCCATCTCCCGGGAGCTCTTTCTGGAGTCTCCGTCTGGCTGGACGTGGGCTGCCTGCAAACTCCTTTGCGCTACGACGCGTGACGGCCCCGGGGCCCCTTCCCCCTCTCCCCGCGGCTGCATCGGGGCCGGCGGGGCCCGCCCTGACCCCGGCCCGGCCCCCCGCTCCGCTCCTCTCGCAGTCTGCCCGCCTCTGCCGGCCTGTGCGGACCTGCCGGGCCAGGGCACACCCAGCAGGGTGTGAGCACAGCGGGAGCCGAGTGCTGGCACGCACGGGCCCGGGGAGAGCCCAGCCCCGCGCTCACCTGGCCCAGCTGCAGGAGCTCGACATCCGCGGGGAGCAGGTATTTTGTCCCGGAGTGGCTGCCCCGGCCGTGGGGATGCTGTCCTGCGCCGCCAGGGCTGGCAGGGCGGCACGGGGAGAGGGTGATCATCCCGGCTCGGCGGGAAGCTGAGGGGGGAAGGAAGGGGGTTGCCCGTGTTGTCCCCACGCTCTGGGGAGCAGGAACGGGGAGCCCAGGACTGAATGCCCGGGCATGAGACTGAGAGCGGGGGATCTGGGCCAGGCTGTACTGTTTGGAGTCACCCTGTGCCCCATGCTGAGCCCATGTTCCGTCCTACGAGGAAAGGGGAACAGTGGGGTTAGGCACCAGCTCCTGCTGACCTGCCGGGTGGCACACAGCCTGGGCTGGCTCAGCTCGGCTCCTTCAGAACAAGGGGATCTTGATCTGCATTTGGCCACCTGGTTGTCCTGTGTGAGCACCTCTGGGGCACAGAGGTCTTTGTGAGGCTAGCAGCATACACTGCCGTGTCGGTGACTGTGGCAATGGGTTTGTCACCCCTTCAGATTCCCTGTGACTCGCACACTAGGGCTGTGAGTGTGCCGTGGGGGTTGTTTGGTGGGAGCTGAAAGAGGGGTCCTTCCAGCCGTGATGGACCCCCAGCTCCCACTCTGCTGCTCTCCCGCTGGAGCTGGAGCAGAAGCTGAGCGGGGTCAGATCTGTGCCTATCCCTGCTCTGTCTGGGATGTGTGCCCTGCACAGGGGTGTTGTGCCATAACCATTGATGCTACTGCTGCAGTTGCACTCGGAGCCGGAGAACAGGATGGCATTTCCCCTCCAAACCTTCCAGACAGCACCGCTGGGGCAGATTTGTGACCAGTTCTGTACCACTCTCTGCCAAGCTCCAGTCTTGGCAGCAAGTCCTTGGAGCAGCTCAGTCTGAATTGCAGCTGGTGCCCACAGCCACTCCTCCTGTACTGTGTACCCTGCGTGGGAGCCAGACACCAGGAGCTGCTGACACCAGTGCTCTGCACGTGTCAACAGTGACAGGGGACAGTGTGGCTCTAAGTGAAGGCTGGCTGAGCCCACTGGTCCCTGGTGGAAGTGGTGACTCTGCTTCTGGTGACAGCAGGGGTATGACCCTACAGCCAGAGGCCCGGGGCATCAGGAAGGGAAATATCTGGACCCATGGCTTCCTGTACTTGTGTTAAGGCTGACTCCTTCAGTGCCATCACTGAGCAGGTCACAACTGCTGGTCTGGTGCCTAGAAGGTGGAGAGGGCAGCAGATGTGGGGCTCTGTTTTGCTGCTTATCATCCTCTGTGACTTGGCTGGCTGAACCTGCTGATGACAGCCCCCAGACGTCCCCCAGCCTGCAGAAGCTGCCTGGCCAGGGCTGGGGTCCTGCTCTCGGGGTGATACCTGCCTGTATGTGACCCTGTGTTCTGTGTGGGTGCTGGGGCAGGCTCTGCACCTCAGCCCTGGAGACCCCTGTAAGGATGGTATTGAGGAGAAGGGTGACAGGCTGGGGTGCTGCCCTCTTACAGAGGAGACCAGGCTGACCTTGGCCACAGCTAGGGCATGGCAGGGCTGCTCTGGTCTGACTGGCTGGGCCAGGGACGACCTGGGCTATCTCTGCTCCTTCTCTCCACAGCCCAGATTGGAATGGGACACAGCTCTATGAGGCACACCATTGCCTCCAGTGTTGGGGAGGATGTGGTCAGTTGGTTCTCTTGGCTGGCTCAGTGGTCACAGTGAAATGAGAACCAGGTTTAATCTGCAGGGTGATAGTGTTGCATAGTGTGCCTGGCCTGTTGGGGAGGTTGAGGTGAGGAGGAGGAGCAGCTCCAAATCAGGACAAGCAATAGTAAAGATGGGATTTTTCTGGATGGATTGAGGAAGACCTTGTTTTGGGCTCCCTGTTTCTTCCAGCCAAACACCAGGAATCTGGGGATCACAGCAAAGCTTCCTGGCTCTCTCCACTTGCCAGTGCTGGGGAACTCAGTGGTGGCCCTGCCCCCAGCCTGGGGGTCTCTGACTGTAGAAATGGATTCGCCCCTATAACTGCGTCTCACCCAGATCCCCTCGCCAAGCACTTGGACCAAAGCCATCCAGTGTCTGTTCAGCTGCAGCTCCTCAAGCCACACTTGGGATTCCTTGGTGTGCAGATTGAGCTAAGGGGCTGCCAAGATGGTGCTGCATCAGCAAGGACCTGGACTTAGGGGTCAGAACGGGAACTTCTCAGGCTGTTGCATGCAACACCAGCTGCAAGCAGGAGCCCCAGGCTGTGGCTGGACAGTCTTTGTAGGTAGAAGCCTGAGTACAGTGTTGCTGTCTGGCTAGGCTGCTTGCCTCTGGAGCCTGCACAGTGGTCCTGGCTCCCAGGCAGAGTGCTGAACCCTGGGCTAGGGAGCAGGCCCTGCTCCCTGCTAGCTCCAGACTTGCTCCAGCTTGTTGGGTGAAGGGTCCCAGCACAGCCTGCTGAACAGGTTGGGCTGCACCCTGTGCTGCTTCTTCCCCTGGCACCATGCCTTGCCTGGGGACACAGGCCAGCAGCCTCACCACTATGTCCCAGCACTCTGGGCCACCTGCCAGTGTACCTGGACACAAAATGCTTCAGTGCTCCATCCCCACGGGATGGGGGCAGTGTGTTGGGAGGTCTGTGCCAAAACACTGTGTGTATGCCCCACAGGACACCTGACCTTTGCTCTGGGACAGTCTGCTGCTATGGCAGACCCCCCTGGTTGCTGCTCTGTCTGTGCCACCTGCCTGCTCTGCCCCTACAGCTGCCAGTGGATCACTGCCAAGAAGGAGAAGAGGAAGGGCTTGAGAACCACCAAGGTGATACTTGAGTTGTGCTGAGCACGGGCTTGCCAGCTCATTTGTGGGAGTCTTGGAGTGGTGGCTGAGATGGGGAAAGGCTCTGGCTGGGGTGCTCAGCCAGACGCTGAGCTGCTGACCTCTTGCTGCTGCTCCTGCTTCCCAGAGCTGAGCCCCAGGAAAGCTGGGGTGCTACCTGGCACCCTCACTGTCCAGGAACTGCCCTAGCCTGGAGCGGTGAGAGGGTGAGCTGTGCTCCTGCTGGGTGACAAGAAGGGTAGAGCAGCATTAGTGTGCATCTGCAGTGGGGCTTGCACGTGCCTGGAGCAGAGCCCTAGGGCTGAGCTGGCAGCAGGTCCCGGGGCACCTGGCCAGGCACGTGGGAGACACAGTTCCTGGCCTGGCTGTGGCCCTACCAGGAGGGTGTCCCCAGCAATTTGTAACCTGGGAGTGGTGAGGCCCTGGGATTCTCTGAGGTCTCCGACTCCCATGGGAGTGGCTCTGCTGCTGCTTGTCCTGTCTTGCCTGGAATGTACAAATAAGTCTGCGTTGCTAGGTGTCCCTCTGGCATCTGTGGCGCCCCCACACACGTGGGACTAGTGGCTGTGGACAATGTAGCTGGACCCAGTCTGAAGACTCACCACTACAAGGGCAGTTCTGAGGCCCTGAACCCCTCTCTGCCCAGCCCACAGATCATCCAGATAGTAGGGAATGGGAGCTGTCTCCCTGCCCCTTCTTGTGTCCAAAGTCCCTGCCTGTTCCCATGGAGTGCTGCATGGGAAAGGAGGGAGTCTTGCCACAGGGGCTGTCCTCCCCAGCTTGGCATAGGCAGATTTTTAGTTTGTTGTAGGACATGCTGATCCATCTTTCTGTACCATGGGTCCAGCCAAAAGAGACAGTCAGGGTAGCTCTGGTCCCTCTCCATGGGGCAGCTCAGTCCCTGGACCAGTGCCTGCTGTGACCCCCTGTGCTGCCCACTGCTGCTGGCTGGGTGATACCCAGGGGTCTCAGAAACCTGGTTAGGGGCTAGGTGCCCTGAGGGAATGTGTATAACTCTCATCTCTGGCTTTCAGTATGACTGCAGCTGGTTCTTTTTCCTCTTCGGCGTCTTCCTCTTCACGCTGGTGTGGCTCTACTTCGCTATCATCATCCTCAATGATTTCCACAACTTCAACGAGTGAGTAGGATCCCACATCCAGCCTTGTTCCCCATGTCACCCCTGCCCCTCTAACCCTCCCCTTTGCTGGCAGATTCATCTTCAGGCAGAAGAAGCTGTGGCTAGACTGGTCCTTGGTGCTGCTCATAGCTACGGCTGTGCTGATCAGCTACTCCTCTGTGCTGCTGGTGAGCCCTCCTGATCCTGCTGGGCTGGGGTGGGAATGGATCTGTGCTGAGCACAGGCTGCCCTGAGCTGGGAGAAGCCTGCAGCATCTGGAGCCGGGTCAGCCTGAGCACGGCCAGAGCCCCTGCCAGAGCTTCTGTGGCTGAGTCCCGTGCCCTGTGATGGGTGAGGTGTGGGGTACAGTCCAACTCTGACAGCTCCTTCCCTTTGCAGATCCTCGCTTTGTGCTTGCAGCTCTGCGGCCAGCCCTTGAAGCTACACTGGGTGCACAAGGTGAGAGACTCGGGGTACAGGGACATGGTGCCTGCCCTGGCTGCCCTTGCACCTTCAGAAGCTGGGACCAGCCTACTGGGGCTGTGTATGGCTGCTGTGACCCCACTAAGTAGCTGTGTGTCCCCGCTGAGCTGGGCTGCAGCTGTCAGTTCCTCAGCCACATGTCTGTGGGATGGGAATATTCCCAGTGCTCAAAGCATGGAGCACAGAGCTCATTTGCAAACCCAGATGGGGAAAGGGGGATATCAGGGCTTGCAGGGGTTCATAAGGAAGGGTTGAGGAGGACTCTGTCTGGCCTGCAAGATGCTGTGTGCTCCCCTAACTGCCCTGTGCATGCCTCACAGATCCTGCTGATCCTAACTGCCCTGGTGGTGGCTGCAGCCTTCACAGGGCTGGGAATAAAGTGGGCGGAGGAGTGGAAAAGTGCACGTATTTCCCTGCAGGTGAGTCACCCCGACAGCAGGGACTTCCCAGCTGTACCCAGTGCCCAAGAGCTGAAGGGTGCTGACTGAAGCCACAGCACAGCTGTGTGCACTGGGGGTTAATTCCTTCTGCCCCTGCAGTCCTGCCTGGAGCAGACTGATGAATGGTGGCTGGACCAGAGCAAGGAGTCTTTTCTGTCCCCCAGGAACCTGTCCCTCCCTCCCTGGCACTGTGGATCTTCCAGCAGTACTGGCTGCAGGGGCAGATCCCTGGCATTGGAGCACGTGCCTTTTGGGGACAGGGACTCTTGCTGGCTGACACCCTGGGTTTTTTTTGCCTCCCTAGGCAACAGGTCCCTTCCTGCACATTGGAGCTGTGGGGGGAATGACACTCCTTGCCTGGCCCCTGGCCAGCTTCATCTATCGCACCCGCAGTACAGGTAATCCCCCTCCAAGGTCTCCCCTGGTCAGCTTGGTTGGTACCCTGCTTCTGCCACCCAGCTGAGCAGCACTGTTGGCAGTGGGAACAGGTCCCCAGTGTGGTAGTAATGCCTGGTCTTGGCTGCTTCTCATGACCAGCCCTTGCTGCAGCTTCAGCCCTCCCTGCTTTGCAGCTGAAAGAGGGCTACAGATGGCAGAGTGCTGCAGAAGTGCTGAGTTGGGCAAGGACACATAGTGGGCCAAGAATAAATCTGCCATTTTCCCGAGGTTAGGGATGCAACGTTTGACCCAGGGCAATGACAGGTTAATGCCAGGTAAAGCAGCCTTGGCTTATTCCTAGTGACCTGCAAAATATTTCCTCTGTACCTCATCCCCTCTAACTTCTGTCTGTGCCTGCAGGTCTCAGGGTGTTTCTGCTGATTGTTTACTGTGCAGCGATGATTGCACTATACCTGGCCCCATTGGGAATCACCTCCCCCTGCATCATGGAGGAGAAACAGCTGCCCCCCAAGCCAGCCCTATTTGGCCATCGAGGAGCACCCATGGTGAGTGACCAGCACCTTGGCAGTGGTCAGGGTGGATGGGGCAGGAAAAGCCAGGCTGTGCCTGGCTGTGGGGCACAGATCCTTGTGGTCAGAGGCCTGGACAAGCTGTGGCCAGCCCAGAACAGTGGTATCCCCACAGCAGCCAGGGCAGCTCAGGCTTGGAGGATGGGTGAGCACCGGGTGAGGAGGGGGTTGCAGCAGCTGCAGGACAGAGCTGCTTCCTGAGCACTACTGGACCAGGAGCATGCACCTCTCAGCAGAAAGTGTATTGTGGGCTGGGGAGCAGAGACGAGGCAGGCTGTGGCTGTCTGTCCCCAGTCCTTTTCCATCCCCCACCATGCCCTGGTCACCCCAGTCTCATTATGGTTGCCCTAGAGCCCAGCCAAGCTGCTGGGTGCATCCAGGCAGGATAAGTGCCTTCCTCCTGCCCCATCCTGCTCATGCTCTCTGCACCAACACCATTCCTTTTTCCAGCTGGCCCCCGAGAACACCCTCATGTCACTGCACAAGGCGGTGGACTGTGATGTGCAAGTCTTTGAGACAGACGTCATGGTGAGGTAAAGGGGCTTGATGCCTTAAGTTTTAAGTTTTTCTATTCTGCTTGGATGTGCTTTTCTGATGTGCTAGGGTGATGAAGACAAAAAAGGCCTATTCCAGTTAAGAACTCAAGGACAGTTTCTTCAAACTTCAGGCCCTAAGGTGTAAACAACGTGTAAAGAGGAGGGCGGGTTCATGCAAATGAACCAAAACCTATAAAAATGCGAGATTTTTGTGACCAAGCCCTCCTTTGCTTCCATCTTGGAGCCATCTAGGCAGGGGCTACGACTGATACTGCTAGGGTGTGGCCTTTTCTAGGCTTCTCAATAAATACCCATTTTATTCCCCTTAACTCTGTGTGCAGCCTCTGTTCCTGCTCCCCTAGGCATCAGGCTCAGAGGGAGGAAGGTGTCTGTGTATCCTGGGATGTCACCTCCCACAGGAGGCATTCTGGAAGACACCTGGAGGACTGATAGAGCCTGCATTTGGAGGCAGCCCTGTTCAAAGGGCTCTGCCACTCCCACCTTCCCACTATGGGACTGGCTCCAGCTTGGTATCCCAATGATTTGAGGGAGGTGCTGGGTTTCTGTTCTCCACATGCAGATTGCCTTCTAGGCAGGGAGGTTCCATCAGGGGAGGGGTACTGCTTGGAAAACAGACTCTGGCTGCAGTTCATGTCATGTAATCCTGTTATTGGGACAGCTGTTTCAGAGAGCATGGAACTACTTGGTTGCTGGCTTGGTGTCTAGGTGCACATTTTTGTGTAAAGGCCCACTACAGAATAAGGGTAGGGGTTACTCTAGCAGGTGGCTGGGAGGGGGTAGAAATGCCGGGGCAGGGATAGGAAACAAACAGCTTGTAACATATTTCTTTCCTCTGTGCTCCTTTGCCAGTGCTGATGGGGTCCCATTTCTCATGCATGACGAGGAACTCACCAGGACTACCAATGTGCAGGCTGTGTTCCCTGAGAGGGCTGCCCTGAACAGCACTGCCTTCAACTGGACAGATCTCCAGCAGCTGGATGCTGGCAGCTGGTTTCTGGAGGTCAGGAATGTCCTTAGGGTGGCTGGTGAGGAATGGGTGCATTTTGAGGTGAAGCATTAGCCCTGCCCTGGGGCTCTAGAACCTTCCCTCTGGTCCTAGCAGACACCTGGACAGAGTGCAGAAGCCTGCACAAATCCCTTGGGTGCGGTTATGCCCCAAGCTGGGGTTTGTTCTCACTCCTTAGCTGAGTCATGGAGGAGGCTGCTCTGAGAGGGGATGTCTCGTGTTTGCTCTGAGCTGCACAGCCTGCCTGGGCCTGAAGGCAGCTGTGGCCAGGCTCTTCCCAAAAGGTGACTAACTACTGCTGAGCAACTTTGAATGCCCACAGGTGTTGGAGCTGCTTGCATTCTGTTGTTAGTGGGGGAGAAGGGTAGAGGCGTCCATGGATGTGCATAGGGAGGTTCCCTGTGCCTGTCTGCACTGGAGAGCACATGGAGAAGCCAGTGAAGGAAACTGAGAGTTTGAGACAGGCACCAGTTTGGGCTGTGGAAGCTTACGGGTGGTCTGCCTGTGATGACTGCCCCTCTCTCACCCTTGCAGCGGAGGCCATTTCCCACTGTGCAGAGCCTTTCTCCTGGTGATCGCAAGGAGGCAGCTGAACAGAGGATCCCGTCCCTGGGACAGGCTCTAGAGGCAGCCAAGCAGAGCAACATCTCTATCATGTTTGACCTTCGGCCTGAGAACCACAGTGACTACCAGAACTTTGTCAATGTCACCCTGGAAGTGATTTTACAGTCAGGCATCCCGCTGCAGCAGGTGAGCTGGTCACCACCCCAGCCCTGCCAGGCCCTGCTGTCACACCCCTGCCACGGTGGGAGGTACCCTGCCAGCCACACTGACCATCCCTGACACCCTATACACCACGTCCCCATACATGATCTCTGCTGGGCAGCCCTGCCCAGGTGTGGGGTTCTCTAGCTGGCAGAAGTTGCCAATAATTAGGGTTTAATGCCTACAGCTTCAGACTATCCCTCCAAATACTTCAGACCTCCCCCCAAATACTTTGGTTTCCCAGCACTGGCCACCCTGGTGTGTAAACAATGACTCACTCTAGGAAGGAGACCAACACTGCCAGCATAAGCAGGAATACAATGCTGAGGCTTCTACCTCCCCACACTACCACACCTCTCCCTGTAGCCCTTGGACTCTTGCTGCACCCTCCTGTGTTCCCCTTATGCTTCATCCAACCGCCGCAGCACAGGATATATGCTGCCCTCAGGGGACAAATCAGCACTCAAATCACCTTTCATGGCCGCCTGGGAATGCAGAGCAGGAGGGGACATAGAAAATACTTCTACTATATTGCTGATCCAAGGTGCATTCTTGCTGCAGAGTTGGGGATAAATGGATTCCCTTCTTGAGCCATTCAAGAAGCCAGAAAGGACTTAACTGTTGCAGTTTCCTAGGCTGGAACTGCTTTCTTCCTTCAGTGGGACCTGCATTTATTTCTTGGCTGGGGCAAGCTCTCAGGAGACTGTCCTGGCTGACATCCTCATGGAGGAACTAAAAGTGGAGATGGGGGGCAGGAAGCAGCTGTCTAAGCCAGCCATGTGGGCCTGGACCTCTGAGGGAATATTGGAAGAGAGCAAACTCTCTGGAGCACCCCTCCTCTGCACGTGCTCTCTGGCTTTTGCCTAGATCCTCTGGCTTCCGGATGGGTTCAGGGAAGACGTCAAACAGCAGGCTCCAGGTGTCCAGCACATTTACGGCCGGAAGAGATTCATGAACGAGAAGGAGCCAGTACTGCATGTCAATCTGCCCTACCAGGACATGAGCTCTGAGGAGATCAGGTGAAAACGCTTTTTCCAAGTACCTGGTAGCTGTGGGGGTCTGGGGACTGTCCCAGGGGCCAGCAGAGGTGAGGCTGCTGAGTACTGGTGTTTTTCTGGGAAGAGCTGGGTGTGTGCCTTGTGAACAAGTGTTCCTATCAGGCAGGGCTGGTGCAGAGGATGGAGCTGGTTGCAGTCCTCTGCCCTGCCAGCAAATCTGCCCTTGGTCTGGAAATCCAGACAGTCGCTCCATGTGGCTGCAAATGCTGGATCATATCCCAAGTGTACAGCCCCCTCTGGCTATGCAGAGTGTGGTGGCACCCTGCTGTCTGCTACTCTGACCACGGCTGTCCCCATGCAGGCAGTACCGCCAGGACAACATCTCTGTCAACTTGTATGTGGTGAACCAGCCCTGGCTCTTCTCTATGCTGTGGTGCTCAGGCGTGAGCTCTGTCACCACCAATGCCTGCCAGGTGCTGAAGGAGATGAAACACCCCATCTGGCTGCTTGTAAGTGACCCCTCCATCCTTCCCTGTGCCCTACAGCCCTGTGTCCCAGGTACTTGTGGGTCCCTTTCTGCAGCAGTCCTGTGCAGCTGCCCAGAGATGACTTCTGCTCATGCTGTACTAGCGTGGGAACATGTGACCCTGTAGAAGGGACCGGTGACACAGCAGGCAGGGCTGTGCCACAGCACACCATCCCTAGCTGGTGTTCAATGGCTTGTCTCATTGCCTTGCAGCCCAGCAGCACATACTTCATGATCTGGGTCGCTGTAGACTGCGTTTCCTTCCTTATCATCATCTGGGCCTTCTTCTTGATGAAGTAAGTTTGATCCTTTCCCCCTCCAAAGGCAGGTCTGTTGGGGGGGATTGTAGTGTGCCCGGGTGGCTGGTGCAGACCCAAACCTGCTGCCACCCCTCTCTGGATCCTGGGGGGGTTTCTCTCCTGTCTGGCTCAGTAAGACAGAAGTGTGTGGAGGCAACTTTTATCTCCAAGCTGCAGCTAAAAGTCTGCCCTGACCCTGCCTCAAGCTGCTGGATGCCTTAGTCCCCACTTCCTAACCCACTCTGCACCCCAGGGCTTGGTGGGCTGAGGCTGGGGGATCCTGGTCCTGCTCCTTTTACCCGTGCTGCAGGCACTGAGAGCAGTTCCCTCTGGGACTGCAGGGCCCCACAGCCTCCAGCTGGCAGCTCAGGGGAGGGAATTGTGAGACCAGACTTGCATGCTAACATCGATCCTATTCCATCTCCTAGGAAATGTTCCCACAGAACACGGCCAGCGGGTGAGTGCACATGGAACGGGAGCTTCCCTCCCTTGGAAGCCAGGCTCTGCCTGTGGGACTCTCCCTGACAAGCAGGCAGCTTTCTCCAGCAAACGTGATGAGTGGTTTAGGATGGCTGGGGGAGGGAAGGGAATCCCAGCCCAGGGAGTTCTTCCTGTCCTGCCCTTACCAAGCAGCCCTGTGGAACAGCACTAGGGAATCCCACACTCTCCGAATATCCTCAAACCTGCTTTTCAGGCTACTCTGCCTGTCGTTGCGGGATGGTGGCTGCCCACAATGACTATTTTTTCTCTGTCTCCTCAGAGTCTGAGACGGATGTGCTGCTCACAAAGATCAACAGCTTGATGCAAGAGTGACACCTGCGTCAGCTGTGGGGAGGGGCAGCCAGATCCCTGCACAGCTCAAGCGGGGAGCCCTCCTCAGGCCAGCTTCGAGGCTCCTTTCCTTCGAGGCTCCTTTCTACCGTGGCCTTCTTGGCTCTTTCATGGTGCACAGCTGCCCTCAGCTGAAAAGACTTGGAACTGGGTTCTCATTTCCCACTGGCAGCAAGGAACTACAGCTTTGCAGGGGTGGCCTAGGGGCAGAGTATTTATCCAGTAGTGCTGGAGCTGAGACCTCTCCCTTGGAGTTTGGACAGGAGCAGGGATTTGGGTCGCTGTTTGGTGCAGGGGAAGGGCTGTATCTGCCTGTTGTCAGCAGCTCTGCAGCCAGGGATGGGGCACCTGGTTTAAGGGCTGCTCCTCTGGGGGCTGCCCTGGCCCATGGCCTGAGGAATAGGAAGGGGGATGTGGAGCGGCTTTTCACAAGACAAAGGGGAATCCCAGCTCTTCACCCTCCCATCCTGGACTGAAATGGTGTCCTTACTGTTGCTGGCTTCGTGTTCATGGGACAGGGTCTGGCACTCCATGTAGCTGTTAATGCCTGTTGCTCGGGGAAGAAAATGAGCAGGGCTGGGGGTGGTGGGTGTCAGAGGCTGGCAGGACCGCGCTCACGGTCCTGCTGCTGCTCCAGGGCAGCAGAGGGAGCGGTGGGACTCGGTATCGGTCACGTTGCAACAGGGCCTTGAACGGGGAGAGGGGTATCGTGTCTGTTTGACTTGTCGCTGTCTATTTATGTCAATAAAGCAGAGGAGCGGCAGACAGAGCCTGCAGGGGTGCGGCGGACACGTCCGCGTCCTCCCTTCCGCACCTTTCCCTGCCGGCGGCGCTGCCGGCCCGGAGGAGCCGGCGCAGCCCAGACGGTACCGGCCCACGGCGGGCTCGCTCCGCGGCGCCTCCGTGCCACCTACTGACGGCGCGGGGAAGCGGGCTGGAACCGGGCCCTCCGCAGCGGGCAGGGAGGGGTGGCCGAGCCGGGCGCGGCACCCGGGCGCAGGCCGAGGCTCCCGGCGGGCTCCGAGCGGCAGTGGCGGGGCGCTCCCGGAGGCGGTGCCGGCGGCCGGGGGGACGGCTCCCGGCCCGTTTGGGCGGGGCGGGGCGGGGCAGGGTGGGGAGGCGGTGGCTCGGCCGCTCGCGGGCTGGCACGAAGCGGAGCGGCCGTCGGCCACCGCGGAGCGATGATCCGCCGGGAAGGTAAGGAGCGCACTGCCTGGCCCTGCCCGCCGAGCCGGGGCACCGCGGCCCCGCTCTCAACAAGTGTCTGCCCCGCCGGCCCCGGCGCTGGGACCGCGCCCGGTGCTCCGCGCTCCTCCCGGGAGTTCCCGCCCTCGCTCCTCACTGCAGGCGGCCGTGCGACCCCGGGGTTAAGGTCCGAGGGCTGTGAGCCCTCGCTCTACGCCCTACGAGGGCTGTGGACACATTGTGCTGCCGTGGCTCAGAGTGGGTGGCCGTGGGATGCTCTGCTTGCAGCTCCCCTGCGTGCTGCGGGGAGGAGAGCGGGCATGGGGGTTTGGGCTCTGCGAGAAGGGATTTCCTGTAAGCGAGACTTGCATGCACCTTGAGGCACGTGGAGATGGGCCTTGCACTCCATGTGCTATTTCCTGGGACCTGTAAGCAGGGTCCTGTGGTCTCCGTGCCACTCTGGGTGCGGAACACTTCCCTAGATCGGGAGGCAGCAGTGCCCTGCTCCAGCTGACTGTCACAGGTACGAGTCGCCAGCAGCGCAGGGGTCAGCGCGGTGCATGCTCTTCCTGCTGCGCAGCCTGGGCTGCGGTGGGAAGTTTACACCAGATTTGCAGTCTTTATGTCCAGTGGAGCCCTAGCTCTCCATCTACTTCTTTAGTTCCACTGATAAGGTCAGGAATGACCAAGCAATGATATCTCAGCCCTTCTTGATATGCTGGGCAGTGTCTGAAGCCACTGTTTTATCTTGCAGAAGAGGAAGCTCTTAGTAATAGCACAGGGCTAGGATTGCCATAAAGCTCTAGGAAGTCCCTGCTTTATCTGGAGCAAGTGTGAAGCCCATCTCCAAGTCAGAGGTGTTCATGCTTCCCCAGACTCCTTTCCCTGTTCTGCTCCCACGATGAGTCAGTGTGAGCTGGTGACACAGGCAGGAGGACCCCCTTTCCCTTTCAGCCAAGCAGAAACTGGAAGGCTGGGCGAGCTGGGACACCAGGTGGCATGTACCCGAGCAGACACAGGCGCCCTTGTTTGATGACCTGAATTCTCAAGAGCCCTGTGATGAGCAGGGTCATCCTTTCTGCATGAGTTCCTGGCTTAAAAGATGAGTCTCCAGCAGTGGTGGGACAGCTTCCATGCCTTCTCACACAAACACTCTTTGTCTGCAGTCTGCCTGGGTGACAAAGGGAAATACCCACTGATGGGGCAGGGATGGTCTCCAGGTCCACAGGAGATATGGGTTACATCTGAGGTTGGGCCTGCACTGGCAGCTCTGGCTGGCTGCCCAGAGAAGTATGGAGGTGTCCGGGCAGAGAGATCACAGCTCTCCTATTTTAGGTCCAGGGATTTCTCTAGCTATGTCTAGCCCAGTCATTAACCAAAATGTTGCTTCATGGCAGCCTCCAGCTCCCCTCCTCACCAGCATCTCCTCTGGCCCCAAGGCATTGTATTCATTTCGTACTTGTCCCCTGCTGACCCACGGCTGCTTGCTGCTTTGAGCAATTTTTATGCTTCACCCTGTAGAAACCCAAGTTTTGCCACTCCTGTAGCTGAGCCGTTTGCACTACGTGAATGGGCCTACGCTCAGCTTTGCTGCAGCCATCTGGCCCTATGTGGGAGGCTGCAGTAGTATTCATAGCCCTGTGCACCCAGAACATGTCCAGCTCCTGAATAGCTTCTGTGCCTGGAAGGTGGCAGAGGTGTTCAGGCTGCCCAGTGCCACAGGGTTCAGAGTTGAGTCAATCTGATTTTAGCCCCTGATTTTCAGGGTTGGTGGCAGAACTACCGCTCCTTCAGTCCCCGCCCAGGTCTCTGCTGTGGGCCCTCAGTACCTCTCAGCAGAGTTAGCTTTCCCAGGTGTGTGTAGGGAGGCTGCTTTTGTGGCTGTTTGACTTTTAAAAATCCAGACTGGAAGGCAGCTTGAGGCATTATCCCAGGCTGCACTCGAGCCTTCCCTTAACATCCTACAATGTTAATGCCTTGTTACTCCTGTGTCATCTCTGCAGACACTGAACGGGCAGTGGAAATTCTGACCAGATACCAAAGCACCCTGCGGTCCCCAGAGGAGCAGGAGTTAAAAGCTTCCATTGGAAAAGTCTCGCACATCTTCCAAAGTGAACTCTTCCAGGCTCTGCTGGGTAAGCCTCTGCCTTGCAGTCGTTGCAGCCTTGTGTTGAGTGGGGTCTCCCGGGAGCCTGATCCCACGCCAATTTCCTGGCACTGACCAGTGCATTCTGTGAAAACACATGGAATGTAATACCAGGGAGCTGGGCTGTCTTTCCCTTCCGGGGCTTAAGCAGGAGATATTAGGATTGCAGTCACTGGGCATGTGTAGTGAACAGCATTCCTCACTCTGATTGAGGACAAGGGGTAAAACCTTGATCAGGCCGTGCCTGATCTATCCAGCACCTGCTAAGGGATCCTGCCCTGCTGTGAGCACTCTCTGGCTCGGTGCAGTCCTAGTTTGTCCAGGAAGGAAAACTAAATTTTTCTGTCTTTAAAAGAGAATCAACATGTACCAAAGCTCCTTTGGGGTATTCTGGCCCTTCTTGTGCTTAGACCTACCAGCACTTGTGAGAAACATACTGTTCCAGCAGCTCTATTTCACACAAGACTTAATAGCAAGGCTTATCTTGGCGCTGGGCACGAGAAAATGGCATTTTTGAGCACTGTATAAAGTCCTCCACGTGGATTGAGACAAATGCAGCTGAAGTCTATCTGGACTATGCAGCTTCTCTGTGCAGGACAGAACTATCTTGCTGTTCTCCTTACATTCTGTTCACTGTGGGCCTCAGCTAACGTATGCAGCCATGGTGGTTTCTGTTCCTGGACCTCCTGGGAGAGAAGCTGAGTTTCCCTGGTGGGAAGGAAGGGAAAGCACCCCAGAGGCTCTGCACTCTTAGAGGAAGACCCAGACCCCAGAGTGCAGAGCTCCACATCTGTGGCTCACTCTCATTGCATTTTGACCCAAGGCTGTCTCAGCCCTGGTGCTCCCCCTTGCTGTTCTCTTGGCAGCTCTCACCTTTTCTTCACACTTCTGCAGCCAGAGTTCCAGTTCTGTGCCTGCAGATATGAGTTGCCAGCAGCTCCTCTGTGCTTCAGGTTTTCCATTGAAAATGAAGTTGAGTGCTGTGTCCTGAGCAATTTTATTCTATCCTTTTTTCTGTCTTGCTGTTGGAACATCACCTGGAGACTTTCAGTCCCAGCATGTCCTTTTAAAGGTCTTGTGCTGGAATGTCTGTGTCAGCAGCAGAGACACAGGCCAAGGGTGATGCCCACCACGTCAGGTGGGCCCCACACTGAAGGAGCCAGTGTACATCTTCTTTCTTATCTCTTAATTTATACAACCTACTCTAAATGATCCTCAGCCTGGAGGCAGGGATCCCAAGCCCAACACCCCTGGCTGCTTTTGTGTGTTGGCCAGTCCTCCCTGAGGCTGTGTGAAGGCAGTGAAGCAGCTTTCCCAAAGCCCTGGGCTGTTGCTATTAGTGCAGAAGTGCTGTGGAGAGAGAGTGGCTGCAGAGAACACGTCTGCACGCGCGCCGGACTGGCTGCAGCTGCACGCTGGCAGGCGGATGCTGCAGAGTCCCCCAGCTCCCTGCTCTCAGCCGTTTGTCTTGGTGTCCTATCAGCCCTGGTGCAAGGGAGTGTTGGGAGTGTCGCTTGTTTACTGGTGACCTTTCCAGCTGGTTTGACAGGATATTAATTCCCCGTGCCAGAGCGAGTCTTTATCTCAGTGTGTTTATCTAAACTAGGAATTTGCATTAATTACTTCCGTCCCCCCCCCACCCCCGGCTCCCTCCCCCCTTCCCGTTGGAGTGTAGGTTTGTGAATTCCTCTGTCCCAGCATGGACATTGTGTGCTCACTGTGGCCACACACGGCTGGCACACACTGGGTTGCCTCGTGTCCACAGTCTGTACCCACTGGAGCACAGTAACAACACTGCAAGGGTGACAAAACATTTCTGTTTTCATTTTTATTTTCACCTTACCTTTTCCCAGGAGGCCAGCGTGTCTCTGTCTGAAGTCTGCTCTGAGTCACAGGGCTGGCTCAGTGTGGGAGGAGGATTTGCAGGAGAGCAGAGACGCTGCTAAGTGCAAGAGCTCCCGTCTCACTGCCCCACACCATGCTAGATGTTTCTGGCTCTGGAGAGGCCTTAGCCTTGCAGCCTTTCAGTAACACAGCACTGCTTTTTTTCAGCCCCTGGGGAAGACGAATGTGTGAGCATGGTGCATCCCTGTCCTCAGGCTGCCTGCTCCTGCAGGTAAATCTCTCCGAGAGCACACATAGGCTGATTGGAGTTTGAACATCCAAATGCATCAGGCCATAGCAGAGCTACCAGCAGTGCCGAACACCATGGAGTTTGCCAAGTTAGTCCACGTAAAAATGACAGGGATATTACTTTCCATATATTTCTTTTAAAAGAATAAGCTGGTTTGGGGTTTCCAGAAGCCCCAGCCTGTGTTGTGTCCGGGATGCGTTGGTGTTGTGCTGAATGTATCAGTCACTGTTATGATGGCCAGTGTTGCTCTGCACATGCACCGTGTTCTGCCAGACTCCTCTGAGCACAGCCCAGCCCTTCTT